ATCCCGCCGGCGCGCGCGCCCTAGCCCAGCCCCGATCATCTTCTTCGGCATTCGCGGGAAGAGGTTTCGTTGTTCCGCTCCACGATAACTTTAAAAATCGATCTGTTTTCAATACTCCATATCCTCTTAGCCTCCCTCCGGTTTTTATCTTGAAAATTTTGAACCAATGGAATCGGACGAAGAAGACTTTGTTTTCTATGGAACCCCAATTGAGCGGGAGGAAGAAATCAACAGCCGTAAGAAGAAATCCGTGGCAGACGCTTCTGGTACCATGCGAAGCCTCGCTCCCTGGAAACAAGAGGTATTCTGAACTCCATACACTTCATGCTTTACTTCTTATGGGGAAGTTCAGTAGATTTCCTCGGGGGAGATTAGAGTGAGAAGTTCTGGAGCTGTTCTATGTCATATAACTAGGTTAACTTTCTTGCTTCATGTGGAATTGAAGAAATTGGTAACGACAATTGGGTTTTATCTTGTATATTGAGTTATTGGGGACTAAATAGTATAGATACATTTCTGTACTTCTTATACAAAAGGATTGGACAGCCGTTTGGCAATCTCTTCCCCCTTTGTTTGCTTAGGATTCGGCCTTACGTTTTCGTAGATCATTCCGTGGCAAAGATCGAATTGCTTCCTAATAAAAAGCCTGAACAGTTATTTAGGAACTAGGAGGTTTTCTGAATTGTTAATTTTGAGACTTGAATGCTATCTCGTTTTTAGTAATATAACTTACACTAGTTGAGAAGGAAATGTGAGAGCTGCGTAGTGATTGTTAAAACGAACTTGGCTGGTTTTTGTTCACGAATTTATCCGGGAATCAAGTTCCTTAATAGCATGTTAACGGGCATATAGAGGCTCTAACCTCAACCTCTTAAGGATCCAGCTCTCATAGCTAGACCATGGAAACGTTTGAATTTCAAATTGAAGGAAAGCGATGGTGTTCAACACTCTCATATCCTTTTATAATTTCATTGATCTTGTTTATAATTATCAATAGGTTAGAGACGAGGAAGGGCGTAGAAGATTTCATGGAGCATTCACTGGTGGATTTTCTGCTGGTCATTATAATACAGTGGGCTCAAAAGAAGGTGTGCAAACAAATATCATCGTTTTTAATGTGATCTAATTACATAGGTTTTTGTTAATCAATTTTCAAATGTGTGCAGGTTGGACTCCACAGTCATTCACATCGTCCCGAAAGAATCGAGCTGAAGTCAAGCAGCAAAACATATTAAACTTCTTGGACGAAGATGAAAAAGCCGTATGTTATCTTTAACCATTGGCTAGAAACAAGTTTAAATGTACCGGGGGAATGAGATTAATGGGGTCACTTCCCTTCCCCTTGTGTTGAGTTTTCTTACACGTGGGCTCAAATATAGGCCTAGAAGAACTGGTTACCCTTGAAATTTGAATCAACTGTACATGTCAGTGCATTCAAGCTTGCACTTTTTAAGGAAACAACTATTAACCTGTCATTCTGAATCTGATTTGCATCAAACAAAAGATAACTAAGATGGGTGCTTCAGACATTCAACTTTGAAAGTTGCTTTTGTATTTTTAGAAGAAAATTTGTCACTGACCCCTTCATGTTGCTTTTTGACTTTTGAAGTATATGATGTTTTGCTAAATCAAATATTCACTGTTCACCTTTTGGCCACATCTCAAGAATTCTTAATTTTTCCTTCCAGTACATGTTTGTGTGTTTCCATAATTCATAAGTTATTGACCATAATAATTAGAACATAGTTGTTAACCCCCCTATTTTAGGAATTTGAAGGTCGAGCCTTGGGGACATCTTTCCAGTTCGATACATTTGGATTCACAGCAGAAGAGCATGCTCGTAAACAAGCTGAAAAGGAGCAACAGCAAAGGTTAACCATTAGCTTACATTGTTAATTCCCTTGCACTAAGAAACTGAAAATCTCTATTTGTATTTCGAGACTAGTTCCATGGTTTCCACTTTTGTTTTACTTATTTATTTATGATTGGGTGGTGGGTTATGGTTCGGGGTGGAAGGCTGAGTTTTGCTGATGGAGTGATTTCATGATGACAAAGTTACTGGCATTACATTGAAGCTTCATTCTTCTTCTTGGTTCCTTCTCTCTTGAGCATTTTGTAGTTTTGAATTATGATCTTTTGCAAATTCATGCCAATTGGGAAGCCTTTTTGTAATCCCTTGGCTTTTCGGGATATCTCATCTCCCTCCTTTTGTACACACATTTTTTAATCAATAAAAATTATCTGTTTCTTCTTAAAAAAAAAAGAGAAAAAGAGAAAAAGATAGAGAAAAAGGAAAAGCCTTATCACTCTTTATTTGTGAAGATTGATACCTTGTAATTACCAGATGTTTGATAAGTTTGTTCTAAATATTTTGTCTGTGGAAACTCTGTTATCATTCTTCTAAGGATGTCTATTATTATCAAATTTGTTGTCTGCTTAAAGGTTAAAATACTAAGTTTACTAATTTCAACCTCCCAATTGCAGAATTTTCCGTCAATTAATTGCTGCTACATGTGTTTGTTTGTTCTATGCTCGAGTTTCTTGTTTGAATTATCTTGGAATCTAAAACGCCCTTCCCTTGTTTTGCTAACACCTGAGCCTTGATCACAAAAAGAATATGGAGAAGCATGTACTTTTGTATTTATACCATAAGATATGTTGGAGGCAGTTACTAGTTGTTTCAAAGAATTTCATAATCACTCTCAGTTGTATTCAACGTACATAAGTATCCATCTTGGAGTTAGATGTTGAAAGTTTGGCTTGGAAATTTATATACATTTTTCCAGAAAGCTAAAATTCAATTTGTATCTTGTCTGTTTTTCTATTAGACTTTTTTGTTTTTATCTATCAACTAGAGCTTATTCTTTGAATTATTTGCAATTTGTCCCTCCTGTTAAAATGTCCATTCTTTCACTGAAATGTTTCTAGCACGTGTTATGATCTTACATAAACTGATAAACATAAACTCTCTCTTCAATTCCTTGCCCCTTCTTTAGAACAAAGTCCAAAATTTTACACGATGAGTAAAAATTCTCAATCTGTGGGGAAATTGTTCCCTTTTTAGCTTCTTTTTGTACGAGAAGCTGTGTGAGAGAGAGGGACATTTGTCTCACATGACAGGTGCTTGCATTTGTCAAAAAGATGACAGAACTGGTAGTAGAATGATTTATTTTATTACTGTGTAGTGAATTAAGATTGCATGTTGACAGGATTCGCCTAAGTTTTACTTTTATGATTATCTCTAAAGTTTGTTTCAGCTCATTATTTTTCTTTCTTTAAGCATCATGAATTTATTTTGTTTTGTTAAGTATTTTTTATGTTTTGCAGGCCGTCTGCTATTCCTGGGCCTGTTCCTGATGAATTAGTTGTTCCAGCTGCAGAATCCATAGGTTGGTGTGGGAGACCTCAAAATTTGTTGTAAATCAAGTTCATTTTTATTAAAGCATCCAGTTTATTGATTAGGTGTGAAGTTACTATTGAAGATGGGATGGCGCCATGGACGTGCAATAAAGGATTCACGAGCTAATTCCCTCTACGGTATATGTTGCCTTATTGTATCAGAGGATTTTATTGCATGTACACATTATTTTTTGTGTTTCTGGATTTTTTTTTCTATGAAAGTAACATATTATCCTTGGACTAGCTCTTGACTTTGAAGGTAGATTATATCTGGCTTGCTTCTAATATAATAGACAATTTTAGAAAGAAATCAAAGAGCCTTTTTTTTTTTTTTAAATAAGAAACGAAAAGATTGTATTCAAAATGAAGAGGAGCCCAAAGGCAGTAGAACAGCCTAGTGGCAGAGGGTCGCGTAAACCCTCCCCCAGGGGACTATACGATCAAGGAATTCTAGCTCTGTAGAATAAAAAAGAAACCATGTTACAAAAAACCTTCTTATGGATCGAAGCTCACCAAGAAGTTGTATGCTTTATATTCACACTAAAAGAGTAAAAGAAATCAAAGAGCCTTGACGGCAAGGAAAGTTGTTTTGATAGCTTTTTGTGACATTAGACATTTTACAGAAATCACACACTGTTTTTTTGTTTGATTTTGATTGGAAGGTGTTTTTGTATTAGCTATTTATGATGGGGTTTACTCTACCCGGCCTCTAGGGAGGGTGCCCTTTTCTCTCTTTTTTTAATGTATGGTCTCTTAGCTAGATTTTCTGTAAAAATAATTATGCCAATTTTCCATGGTATTTTTTTATACTTTTTTTTATAATGTTGTTGAATTACTACGTGTACTCTGGCTCTTCCTCCCTTGTCACTTTTTTTTTCTCCGTTTCTAGAAGAAACCCGAATTTTTCATTGAAAAAATGAAAATAATACAAAAAAGAAAAAACCCGACAAAGAGCTCACGAGCATTCAATTCAACGTAATCTACTTACGGAGAGGTTATGATTGCCAGAAGATTTGTAAAGAACACAATATGAAGCTGGGAATTTTGAGGACGGACTCCTGATCACAGCTTTTCTCCTTAAAAATCCGTTCATTTCTTTCTGACCATGGCTATCGCTGAACAGCTCTACCAGCATTGTCCATCTGCTTCAAGATATGCTTCTTTCCATTAAATACTCACATGAAAAATCCAATCCATGCCCATCTCATTATTCCATAGTTTAATTTTAATACCGAAAGGGACACTATAAAAAAAGGTGAGCTAGGAGTCTCGATACTGTGGCATAAAAGACACCAATTTGGACTCTAGGCCAGGGAGGGAAATCTTCTGTGCACCCTTTTTGCAGTATCCAATCCACTCAAAACAAACAACCAGATGAAAAAGCTTTACCTTTTAGGTATCTTGCGTAGGGCTGTATGCTTGGTTAGCATACAGCTGGTTGTACTTCTGAAAATGCTTAACAACATCGATACTTTGCATATGCTTGGTTAGTTTTTTCTTCATGCACCAACTTGACGTATGAGGTATGAGATGAAGCTATGGTGGTGATTGCCTTGGAAAATATTGTGTAATTTCACTTGGATTTTTTGAGCTGGTGTTTTATTTCGTCAATTTGGTGTCTTCTTCTTGTCTCCTGATTGTTCTTTTGTCGCCACTTTTAGTTACCTATAAGCTATAACTACCATAACTTGTTCACTACAGATGCTCGAAGAGATGCTCGAAAAGCATTTCTAGCATTTTCAGCAGGTGATGAGAAATCAGAAATCTCCAATTCTGAACTATTTGAGGAGGATGATGATACTGTCTTCCCTCAACCTGCCAATGGTGATATTCCGTCTTCTCAAAACACACCAGTAAGAAAATTATTTGGGCTCGTATTTCTAGTTATTATTCAGTGGTTTAAGTTTCTTTTCTGATGGAAAAGTGTGTGGTATTCTTTTCTAAAGATGAAAAAGAAACCAAATCTGAACGAATTAAAATAATGGAGATTTTTTAGGATTCTTCAACAGGGAAATCCATAAAGAAGATAACAAAATAAACTTTCAACTACAGCCACTCTAACTAGTTAGATTAATTCAAAAGGTCATCAAACATGACTGTGTGATAATGAGTTTGTTCTCTGCAATTTTCTTATCATTTATTTAACATTGGTTTCGAGCGGCTAGTTTTACGAGGATAAGAGTTTTGACTGTTTCTTTTCTTATGAACAGGTTTATGTGATTAACCCAAAACAGGATTTGCATGGGTTAGGTTTTGATCCTTACAAGCATGCACCAGAGTTTAGGGGTATTTAGTTTCTTCTGTAACTCATATTAACTAAGTTATGGACAATTATTTCTATTTTGACGTTCCTTATATTATTTATTATGATTATTCTTTTTTTTTTTAATTTAGAAAAGAAAAGAGCACGTACAGCTGGGAATCAGGAAGGTTACAGAAAAGTGTTCTCCACGAAAAATAATCTTTTTGGCTTTAGGAGTAAGATCTGTACTTCATCAGTTGACTTCAACTGTTCTAATTGCTAATCAGTTTTGTTGTATGTCTTCTTCAGTCTCTGGTTACATTTATCAGAACTCTTTTTTTTGGTTTTAGCGCACAAATTGTCAATGGTTCTAAATCATTAGGTTTTATGAATCAGCTGAGAGGGTTGCTTCTGGCTTTGGCATTGGTGCGCTTGAAGAACTTGATGTTGAAGATGAGGATGTTTATACTGGTCAGTATGTGTGAACAGTTTTGTTGTATATGCTCATTGTGATGATACTGGTGCTTATACATGTATAATTATGACTGTGGAGTTCAATGAGTTTTGGGTTTCATAACATGTTAAATTTAAGAGTTGGTGCTCTAATAAGGTTGAAGATGGATGGAAGATTACTTTCTTATTTGGATGAGCTTGTTATTTAGTGCTTTAATCTGCTCTTTGGAATCCTTGCAATTATTTTCTTGTATCATACCAATTTAAACAGTGGTTAGTTTTGTTATTTTGTTCTTTTTCACCTCTAATTAATGTTTTACTTCTAAGCCTGTCTGTTGGTATTGCAATAGATCATATATTAAATAAGACTATATAGGTATACCACTTGATTTAGAGTCCGGAAATTACTGAGATATGATCATGGGTAGCATCCTTCTTAATTTATTAATTTCACTGCCCGCATGTTCACTTTACCATTAGTTCCCACTTTCAATCTTCCATGTTTCCCAAGTTGATTTGAATATGTATCTCCAACATATTCAAATCACAAGTGCAACTGAGTTCATGTTGGTAAGGATGTTTACTTTTGATGTTTCAGTTGGAAATACGTCAGTTCATCATTATGATCTTGTCATACATTTTTAACTATTGCAATAGTTCTGTTAACTTTCCACTGGATTTTTGTTGGCAGGTTATGAGTTTGAGGAAACATACGTTCAAGAAGATGATGAGTCTGAGTCGTCTTCTAAATTGATTACAGATGGTAAACAAAAGTTGATTGGAAAAGTAGAGGGTGTCTTGCCTGGATTTAGAGTTGCATCAAACTCTGACTACCAGTTGGAGAGGTGCAAAAAAATACTTGATTTTTTTCCTTGTGCTAGTAAGATCTTGTTTTATGTAAAATCAATCTTTCTTCTAATTTGTGGGAATTTAATTGATATTAGTCACTGTGGAAATCTGAGGATGTAGCAATTTAAGTAGTCTACACCATCTTTTGAAGCATGAAAACATTTTGGGCATTAGATTTGAGTTCTTTTGACCTTTATTTGCCTATTTGTTTTTCAGGTTTGATCCTCCAGTAATACCTAAAGAATTTGTACCCCACCACAAATTTGCGGGGCCTCTTAACATGGGCTACAAGCTTGCTGATACCCCTCCTGTCGAGGTTCCTCCTCCCGATGATAATAATCTGAAACTTCTAATTGAAGGGGTGGCATCTTTAGTTGCTCGCTGTGGAAAACTATTTGAGGATCTCTCTAGAGAAAAAAATAAGTCAAATCCATTATTTAGTTTTCTTACTGGAGGAACTGGCCACGAGTATTATTCAAGGAAACTATGGGAGGAGCAACTGAAGCGGGTGGAGCAACCTAAGCATCAACATAATGATAAATTGTCTCCAAGCATGGAGAAGATGACGGCCGAAAGTCGTGGAAAAATCTTAGGTGAAAGGCCTCTGGCAAGAAGCTCTAAAGAGTTAAATCCACCCACTGCTTCTGATGGCGTGCATGTCCAATTCAATCTTTCAGATACATTTACTAAACCTACATCATCTGTGAGTAGCTAGCACTTAATTGCTCTCCCTTTCTCTCTCCCCCACCTAAAAAAAAAGAGGACTGGAAAGCTGAGTTTGCTACGTAAGAAATGTACTAACAGTCATATTTATGTCTAACTTCTAATTGGCTGCTAAAAATGCAAATCGAAGTGAGGTTTTCTGTGGTATTATGAAGAATACTATTCAGTTCACAAAAAGTAGTTAAGAAAAAACATGCTTCTTTGCAAAAAAATGTCTTAATTCGCTTACTGTGGAACTTGAATTTGGATAGTTAAATTAGGATAACTTTCCATTCCAACACATTTCTTCACTTTGATGCGCACACACCAGTTCGAAACTTAAATTAGTATGAGATGTGTTATAATTCTTTTTTCCCCCCTGCATGTGAATCTAACGAAAATACCAGAATATAATGAATTTTGAAAAAGAAGATTATAATTAAAGAACTGTGAATATTGAATCATAATTAGGATAACTGCCCGTTCCAACACAACTTTGTTTCGTTTCTGACCTTTTTAGTTTTAGTTTACACCTTCTCGAGCTAATTTTTCTTCTTGAATACCATGGATTCTAGGGTGGGATGCCGGAAATTGTCAAACCATTCAAGGATGATCCAGCAAAGCAAGAAAGATTTGAGTATTTTTTGAAGGAAAAGTATCAAGGAGGTCTTCGCACTGCAGCTTATGTCGGAGCTATTAATATGTCAGAAGCAGCTCGTGCACGTGAACGCTTGGACTTTGAGGCTGCTGCAGAGGCAATTGAGAAAGGGAAAGGTTTGAAAGAAGCTAAACTCTCTGCCGAGCACTTTGTGGATTTTTTATCCACTGGAGCAATGCAGTTTACTTCTGGTGGCGTAGAGGTATGTACAAGGTGCTGTTGTGCTTTCTTTTGCATTTATGACCCAAGATTTTCATTGTTAACTGAAACACTTAAACAGGAAGTGAAAGATACGAAAGTAGAAGGTTTAATTATGGAGAAAATGATCCCAAAACGGGAAGAATATCAGTGGCGTCCTGCTCCTATTCTATGCAAGCGATTTGATCTCATTGATCCCTACATGGGAAAGGTGCTGTATTGGCTTTTCCTTATTTTGTTTCTAAATGTGCATGACTGGGAGCCGAAAAAGTTCTTCTCGTTATTTTTTTACAAAATATTAACAGCAGCTTTAGACCACTACGAACAAGGTTTGGGGCATCTTTATTTCAAAATAAATTCTCTTATTTTTTGGTGGATGGGGCAAGATGATTCTCTCCAGTAAAGAAATCAGATTATGACTTTAATACTGTCTTTTGTTCCAACTATAAAATTCATTCATTGGGTCATGAATTGCTTTTTCTTGATCTTTTTAATTCCCTATTTAGACGTTTTTTATTTTGGTAACTGACGCTTAAATTCAATGAAAAGGATATTTATTTGTATCATCATGGGCACTGTATGGTGTGAATTGTACATATCTCATTGTTATATTAATAAAAATATTGAATTAATCTTTTGCAGCCACCACCAGCTCCTAGGATGAGGAGCAAGTTGGATACACTTATTTTCACATCAAATTCTGTCAAATCGACAAAGATAGAAGAAGCTTTAACCTCAACCAAGGACCATTCTTTATTGCGTCAATGGAGTGCTGAAGAAAAAGACCAAGATGCATCTGAAAACGAAAATGAGAAAGAAATAGAAGTTGAATGTGTTGATCGGCCCGTTGATCTCTATAAGGTACTTCATTTTGTTCTATTGTATAGAATTTTCCTTCCATGAATCTACTATTTTTATGGAAAGGCGATCTTCATTTTATTTTATTTTATATTTTGGCTATCGACACTACTAGATGCAATGCACACAGAAAGCACAATTCTATAATCAATTGCAAGGAAAATGTTAAGGTGGCGTCTAGTTCCCCCCCTATTGTAATTATTTTTAGTGTACATTTTTTTGTCGAAAGGGGAACATAAATCAGATGCAAGGAAATTGCACGGAATTTTTTTTTCATTATGGTGACATATGCCATCACTTCTCCAAATAAAAAATAAATAAGAACAGAATGAAATGTGCCCTTTCCTCCCGTATTCATACTCTTTCCATCCTCTCTCCGTCACACCAGTTTTTTTCTCTCCTCTTGATATCATATATAAGATCTTTCTGATTTTCATACGACATTCAACCTTTTTTCCTTCTATATATCAGCCTTCATTTTTATACACCTGCCCCGAAGTTATGAGCATCAGACTGCTTAGCATTCTTTGTCCCGGGGAGTGTTAATAGTTTTCTTTGCATATTAAATATTAACAAACAGAAAAAATGCTTTTACCTCTTATCCCTTGGAAAATGACATCTTCCTAATTTACGAGGATGTCTGGAACTCTCTCTCCGACTTTCAGCTATACTGTCTTTCATGCTTCAGTTGTTTTCAGCAAATCTTATACTGTCTCTCAGGTTTTATTTGGACTCTTTTGATCAAGAAACAAAGGCCTTTTTTCCTTTTTAATTCTATAACTTGTGTTCTTGTTCATACTTTGTGAACTGGATCTACTTGTGTGCCTGAACTCTTATCATTATTTGTCCACGTGTCTGTTTCAACTATGGATTGCTCTAATTTTAAATTCGTTTTGCATACTTTCACTGTTGATTTGACATGGATATTGACTTTTTTGTAATATGGTGCTATATATTGTTCTATAGGCTATTTTCTCTGATGAGTCTGATGATGAAGAGAGTACATCAACACTGAAACAAACCGAGGATCCTAAAAAGAAAGTTGAAGTGGCTAATACAACATTAAACCGTTTGATTGCGGGTGACTTTCTGGAATCTTTGGGTAAAGAACTGGGCCTGGAAGTGCCTCCAGATCTGCCTCCATCAAAGAAAGGCCAAATTGCAGTTCCTCAAACAGAAGCTGCACTTGTTGGTGAACAAAGTAATGATATCCTTCCAGTTGAAGACAAGCGTTTTCCCACCCCTTCATGCACTGGAATTCCGTTGGACCACAGAATGACAGGCAACATGGAAGTTGTTCTAAATGGCAGAAATGAAGACGACGAAGTCAATCATAACTTAGCTGGAAATGGTGGTAAAATTATGGAGATAAGTTCTTCCAAGGGAAAATCGGGTAAAGTTAATGAAGAAAATATGTCTAAGGAGGACAGAAAGGCTAACAACAGGCGAGCGAATGTTCATCGAGATTGGAGCGACAGCTCTTCATCAGAAGATGAGAAGAGAAAAAAACGTTTAAGGAGGCGCAGGTATAAAAGTAGCAACTCCGATGATAGTTCATCAAGTGATTATCGTAATAAAGAGTACTCTAGGTCACGTGATAGAAAGAAAGGATCATCTCAAGAAAAGAGGAGCCGGAGAAAACACTCAAACCATCACAAGCACAGACATAGAGATTCTTCCCCCAGAGATCATCATCGCTCTGGAAAAGAACGTACGGTATCTGAGAGAGAGAAACATAGATGGAGAGATTGAAAACGGGGTTGTGTTTCCTTGGTTTCACTTCATAAGTTGGAACTGCCCACTATGAAATATCAGATTTTCAATGAAGGAAATCCGGCACCATAGGATCCAGAATTTTCTAAGTACTCACTCGCAGATAATCATGCTGCTTCCTTGTTGGGGGCATTCTAAATTGTCCTCTCCAAACCTCAGGGCTCCATGGATTCAAATTTCTTGACTTACAAAGGAGTCGGTGCTTTTACAACTTCCTCGAATGCGTCTCCGAGAAGGTAAGTAACAATTCGGTGGTTTCATTTCCATGCTTTACACACTACACCCAGAATACTAACTTTAGAGGTTGTTTCCAGTTAGTGATATACGTGATGTCGAACTATCGAGGTTTATAGATGTAGTCATATGCAATCATTCGAACTTGAAGTAAAAAAGTGAAGTTCGAATATTGCTCTGTTCTTGGATTTTTCTGGGTCGGTATTGAATCGTGTTGGTAATTTTAATTGGTGAGAAATATTTCTTAGGTTGGTTTTTGTTTAGTTACGATTATGTTTGGAGAACCTTGACGGGGTGTGATGTGAGACTCTTCAGGACGCGCTGGGAGAATGCAGTTCTAATATTTCCTTTTGATAAGTGAGGGCTCTTCGTTGGTTTAGATCTATGTGGGAAATTATTATCCCTGTTTTTTTTTTCCCAATAAAAGTAAGGATAAAACCTGACTCTTTACTGGTAAGGAACAATCTTGTCTTTACTACCATTGAATATTTGATAACTTATTATTATGTTTTAAAATAAATTTTTGTTTTTGCATTTTTCTCACTTAGTTGTCAAATATTTAATGGTGGTAAGGGTAAGATTGTTCCTTACTAGTGATGAGCCAAGTTTTATCCTAAAATTAAATGTTGTTCTTTAAAATCATCGGGTTGACGTAGTAAAGGGTTTTAAGGGAATGAAGGTGGCCACCTATTTAGAATTTAATATTATATGAGTTATATTGACATCTAAATGTAGTAGGGTTAGAATGTTGTCTTGTAAGAATGTTCAAAATTCATGTAAGCTGGTTTGGACACTCATGAATATCAAAAAAAAAAAAATCATTCTAATGTACTACTAATTGCATTGAAAACTTGTTGGCTCTGTTCGAAATATATTGGTAGAGTTTAGGGTCAGTGGAAACTTGAATTATCACTGACACTAATTCCTTTATGTTATATGGTTTTGTAACGATTTGTTTGGTAAAGATCAGTGTGAAAAAAATCATATATGATCTAAAATTTCTTCCCAAAATGAGCATGTGGATGTTTTTTAATACAACAATTGGGAGCGTGGGTTTCAATAATTTCTTAGTCAGAAATAGGTGTTAGATACTCTTTCGATATTATTACTATGCTTGTTTCTGTAATGATATTTATTATTTTATTCAATTGCTTCATTTTTAAAATTTAATTAGTACTTCATATTAGATTTCACTTTATTTTATTATTAGATTTCACTTTATTTTATTAGTAGGGTGGATACTCAACTACGACAGGACGTCATATTTTTGTGATATTGATGGAGTGGTTTAAAGAATATAATCATGAAAATAATAATAAAATATGTAAGTTAATTTTAAATGATAAATCCATATCTTATTAATATATATATATATATATATATATATATATATATATATATATATATATATCTGCAAAGTAATTTTGAAATTTCTTTTTCACTGTAACAATTTCTTATAAATTTTCTTTGTTGTAAATATATGTCAATTACTGTTAGTTGTGTCTGTTTTGCAATTAAAAGCTCCTTAATAAGTAAGTATATTGACCTAGGGTAATGTTCTTATTTTTATTTCTCATTTTTACCTTTTTCAATTAAGAAAAATACATCTGCTTTTGGTAATTATTTTTGTATTGAAAAAAGAAGGATAAAAACTAGTAACTATATTTTTTGTTTCTTTGTTCTCTGAGAACAAATCATAAACTATAAAAGTAAAAAGTTTTATATGAAAAATAAAATTTCAAATTAAATATTCAATTTTTATGTTACATTTTTTTTGGGTATTTGTTATGTATTTTATAATTTTAAAAATGATAAAATAATATTTTTATATATGTTTTAGAAAAAAAATAGAAATAGGAACAATAAACTTGATTTTGTTATTTCTAAAATTTTTACACAATTTTGAAGATGTTCCTTAAAATGAGAAATGAGAAATAGAAATAGTGACTAAATTTCTCAAAAAACTAGAAAACACCTAAAAAGAGACAGGAATATTACTAAATGAATCTTTATGAGGACTATATCATTGCAGAAGTGATATGCTGTGCAGCAGATCTATATGCACCCCTTTAATATATGATGAGAAGAAGATGAGTCGTCGTTCTCTTCTCTTTTCTGCATCAATAATCCTCATCTACTACCTATTTGACTTTTTTTTGGATGTATAGTTCAATTTGTATAACATTGAACTTTTAATATTAAAAAATATCATCTCCATTTCCTTTTAAAGTAGACATTCTCTATACCATTCAAAATGGTCTCATGCATCATGCAGCATCCGTCTTTGCATGAGATGTCCATGCAACTCTTCTAATCACACACGACAGGATTATTGTAGATTTTCTTACAAAAAATTCTTTCCCATTTTTCTCACCATATATATATCTAAACAAAAAAAATGTTAGAGATTCAAATCTCCGTTTATTTACCATCTTATTTGGCTATTCCTCTATGTTGAAAAGGAGAGCCACCTTCTTTTAAGTTTCACTTTAAACTTCATTCTTGCATATCGCCCTAGCAATCATAGTACAACCGCTCATGACTTCAACTCAACTCAGTACTTTACTATGATTGTCTGGACCATATCGCCTAAGCGATCATAGTACAGCCACTCATCAAATATCAAATCCTCCCAATCCTCCCCGACTTCAACTCAGGGATTTATATATATGTACAGAAAAAGTTAAAAAAAAAATAAAAAAATTACAAGCGAACTATGGTGGGTCAAACTCAAAAGGTCAGGAAGTTTAAATTCCATGGTCGAACTCAAAAAAGAAAAAGAAGGAAAACTACAACACCAAAATATTCGATCATTTAATTTCGTGGTTAAAAGGGATCCTCAATGAATGCACAAGTCCACAGAAGTTTCCATGATTGAAGTTGAACGCGCTAAGTCAATTATGAAATATTCTAATTAGGGAGGGAGAGAAATCATGGTTTTGGTGTTTGATGAGATCAGATCAGAGGGGAAAACTTTGAGAATTATATTACAGTTTCGAATTCCATGGATCGGCAGCGAATTAGAAACGATCTGATCTTCTAGTCAAGATATTGCAAGCCCTAGAAATTCAGATGCGGATTTAGCCATTACAGATGCAAACTCGTTGAAGCTAATTACGCCATCTCCGTCCGTATCGGCTTCCTTCATCATCTCCGTTAGCTCTCTGTACGTCAATGGCTGTCCCATCTTCGCCATCGATCCCGCCAGCTCCGCCGCGGTTATATATCCATTCCCGTCTCGATCGAAGGAACGGAAAACCTCCAGAAGCTGCGTCTGATTTACCATTACCTCCTCGTTGAAATCCGGCATAATCGCGGTCACCAATTCGTCGAACTCTACAGATCCATTCCCGTTCGCATCCATGTTCGCGACGAGAACGTGGATTTGGTCGCCGGAGGGCTTTAGACCTAGCGACCGGAGCAACGCCGCCAGCTCAAGAATCGTCAGGCTTCCGTCGGAATCCATGTCGAATCGTGCAAATATGTCGCGTAATTGATTCAGCTGCTCAACTGCGAGCGCAGCCATACCTGGAATCGGATTTTACAATGCCGAAACAATGTGAATCGATTGATTAGACAGACGCAGAGAGAAATTGAATTGTGGGAGGAGACGGCGGTTGGCGGTGGCGGTAGCGGCGGCGGAGGAAGAGGAAGGAGGAACGAAAGAGGTGGATATTTGAAGTTTGAGGAGGAAAATGGCGGTGGCGATTAGGGATTTTGTATTGCGTTAAAATTAGAAAAGCGTGTGGGTCGGTGGAGTTTTATTTTTGGGTCACAGCAAAGCTTTATGATTGTCTCTTTTTTTTTTTTCTTTTCTTTTATGTTTTATCCATTGACTCTTTACGGCTATTATAAACTTTTCCCTTTTTCTTGGAACCTCCTCCTCTTTTTGTACTATCTTTGCAAAGGTGTTTATGAATTGGATTAGACTAAGTTGAATTTTGAATCTAATCCAAATCTTATAATTTTTCGTATTTTTTTTTAGTTTCTAAACTTTAAAAAAAACTTGATTACTATTTTTAGATTTCGAATTACTGTCTTTAAATTTGCAGTTATGTAATCTAATAGTGACTATTTAAACTTATTTTTGAAAAAAATTAAATCATCTGTGACTATTTAGTGTTGGGTTGTTTTAGAAAAATTGAATTACCTCATTCAAAAAATTTGGGTTGTATGTTGTTACTTTATTGAGCTTGGCTTGGCCCACCATTTTCTGTTGAACCAATTAAATCATCAATCATATGCTTCATGGAAAAAGTGTATAAGAAGTTACAAACCTATAATTGTTTTACTCACATGTTGGATCTGTCAAAGCAAGTATAGTTCAGCGGTAATTGGTATATATTTCAAACTATGAGATTGTGAGTTCGATCTCCCATCCCTACATATTGTACTAAAAAAAGAAAAAAAAATCATACTCGATCTTGAAATTCCTACTATAAATGAGCTAATAAAAGGAAATGTGCACCTTGTTTTTTACATGATGTAACGGTACCAATTCTTTTTTAAAGTTATTCTTAAAATACCGACGTCGATAGAAATTATCAAGGTTTTCATTTTTATAGAAATGTCGATGTCGATGTATATTTATGACAAAACTATAAAAATAAAAAGATTCATAAAAAATTTCAAATTAACAAAGAAGTCCTTCACTCTTTTTGAATAAATTTGAAATTATTAATATTTTATATTAATGATATTTTGTTGATATATATTATTATCAAAATTTTCGTAAAATTATCAATATCTCGATATTGAACTCGATACAAATGCATGTGGGGGAACTTTTAATTGTACAGTGTTGTAGTTGTTTTCATTAATTCCAATGTGATGTTAAAAGTAGTTGATAATAAGAAGAAAATGATAGGAAAGAAGGTTTTGTAGTACTTCAACTTCTCACATGGAGTGGCAAATGATAGGGTTGTCAAACCATGTGCTTCAAACATCTATGTTTGATTATTTTGTCTCCCACACATAGTTTTTTTCTTCTTTTCAAATAATTTCTCACACAATTTCATTTCATCAATTATTTACAGATATTCACATGGATGCTCATCATGAGTTGAATTATTGTTCCTTAAAAATGTTTCTTTCTTCTTTCTTTTCGTATTTTCTTGCATCATCGAGGTGTCAGGAGTTTGAGCCTTCAACTCCAAAAAAGTTAATTTATATTTTATCCATTAAATTTTGTTTGGATTGACCTAATGAAAGTATCACTTTGTTGTACTTTTTTATATCAAATTTAGAAAAGTTACCATTTATCTTTTCAGCTTGGGTTATATACTTAACATGTCTTCAAGACGGCATCTATTTTGGTGGACATTGATATCATATCAATAAAAATACTAGTCCACTTATATTATAAATCTTTGTAAGGTATTCTCAATGTGAGATCTTCAACTCCATTCAAAATTTTAAAAATATAATTTTTTATTTTATTTTACGCACTAAATTTTATAATTTAACTTATAGTTTACAAAAAATACATCAACTAAGCTAACATAAAAGTGTGTATGTATGTGATATATCTAAATATCTATATATACATACATATACAATAGAATATGTGGGTATATATATATAAATTATATATACACACTTATATAATACAATACAATATGTGTGGGAGTGGGGGATCGAACTCACAATCTATTGGTTGGCTGAGTTATGTGGCTTTGGTACATAAAAGTATATTTAAAAAAAAGACAGACTAAAAAAGATAATTTAAGTTAGGTTAAATTACAGTTTTAGTCACTCAACTTTCAAAACTGTGTATAATAGATCTCTAAACTTTAAAAAACTAAATGAATAGTTGAAAGTACGGAAACTAAAAATGAACAAAATTCAAAGTACATAGACCAAATTGAACAAATTAAACATTTTAATAGTACAAAAATCAAAATTTTAAAATATAAGAACCAAAAATAGTATTAAAAATTTATGCATAAAAAATCAAATTCAACGTTAGATTTATTCTTTATTACACACCATCTCAAAAGTTATAATAATTTACCCTTTGCACTTAAAAAGTAAGAAACAAACTATTTGTCCACTAAAGTCGATGATTTTTTTTTTTTAATCTATCAATCATCGAACTAAACTCAGGATGGCGCGAGTAAATATTTAAATAGTTTTTTATTTTAGAAAAAATGTTTAATAGTTATATGTATGTACACATTTACACACAAAAGTAAAATGAATTAAATGGCTAGAATTTAACAATGAACGTAGACCCGAATCTAGATTCTTAGCCATAAAGCGAGTGGGTACTGAGGCTGAGCTACAGAATTATTGGACTGTCCGTTATTTCCGGCGTTCAAATCCGCCGTCGCCTCTCCCTCTTCTTCCCGCCGGCGACCCCTTTTTCCGTCCATTCTCAGCCGTTGATTTCCTCCGTAAAATGACGACAAATTCCCTCCCCTCTTTATAATTGCCTTCCGTATCCGAAATTGCCCCTCACCATTCTTCCGTTACATCTTTTACTCCGGCCCGGGATTTTCTGCGATTCCTCACTCCTCAGAATTTATGGCAATGGCGATGCTTCGGAATTTTCGCCTCTCTTTTTCCCATTAAATAGTCTGTCACTATAGCGAATGGAAGGGAAACTCTCTTTCGTCCTTTCGTTTTCTTCTTCCGTGTTTTAGATCTACCGAAATTTTAGAAATTTTGGTTTCTTGTTTTTGGGTTTTCTCTTTTTCTTTTCCTTCTCTGTTGTTTGTTCTTGATCGAATGGTTAATCCAATGGGAGGTGGAGTCAGTGGAGGCAGCGGTTCATCGACCTCTTCTTGGGATTTGTACTGAATCGTAACACAAAAACACGAACCGGTCGATAAACCTCTGCATCCAGCGCTCTCTCTCTTTCTGTTTGGTTGATGGGAAATGGGTTATTTCAATGCATTGATTAAATTCGGTATTATTCTTGATTCTTTTCCATACCTCTTCTGGGTNAATTTTGGGAAAGTGAACCTTTTAGCATCGTTTTTTCTTTCACCATCTGGGACCCGTTTTGTGTTTCTGTCTGCATCTAGATAATTGGCCAAGGAGGCAAGGGCATGGGAAATTTGAAAGAAAAGTGAAGAAGAAATCATTCTATAGTGTTATTATCGATTTATTTTTCCTTCAATCTAGCAAGTTATATGTAGATGGCTGTGGATTAGTAACATGGATGGGGTTTAACTTGGATTCTCTAGTTTGCAGCTCAAAATCTTTCAATGGCCCAGATATTGTTCAGTTTCTGTTTATAGGTTTGGATCATAAATGTTTCAATTTTGTTTAAATAGATGCTTGATTTTGTCTTGGTTTTTGATGTTCCCATTTCTTCTTTGCCTGTTTATGTTTCTATTTAGGAAGTAAAATCCTTCTAGTTTATTGATTAAATAATCTCTTTTGGACCTCTGAACTAACCTGATATCTCTTAGTTCTTAAACTGTCACTCATTTTTTATTTGCTGTCCAGATCTGTTCTCATTTCTTTTGCTGTTTACCAGGTTTTACTGCCTTTTATTTTTCAGCTCAAACTTGCTCTAACCTGAAATCTCCATTTTCTAGCTTATATGTTCTAGATCAGATAGAACCATTCTTAGCTCTTTGACACATTTGTAAACAAAGAAAGGAAAATGGTGTTGTTCATGCCAAGACCTTGCTGGGTTGACTCTAATAATTTCTTTTCCTGTTCATTTGATGAAAGTATTCTTCACATGGTTGTGGGAATTGATACAAATACTTTGATTGGTTTACTGTTTGGTTTTTTCTTTGATGTTTTTCCACTGATTATGAACATAGAATTTACTCTGCAAGATTCCTATTACTGCAATTCTGTGTTTGATGTGTAGTGACAATTTGCCATATAGTTGTGAAGAACTGAACTGAGGTTCTTTTTTATCTTCTTCTGTGGTTCTTCTGTTTGCTGTTCTGATATCAATTTTGGACCTTCCATGGTGGCATTTGAGGAAACTGTCTTTTTTTTATCATGGGTGATGTATAAGTTTCTTCTCATGGTTACATCTCAGTTTAGGGAAAAATGGGGCCAACCAAAAGGAAAGATTCTAATGGATGGCATACAAAAACAATACAGCCTTCATTGTTGTGTTGAAAGTAACAGTTGTTGTGAAGTGCCAAGTTGCCAGGCCAGGGAGGTATCAGATTCCTTTCCATTGAAACTGATGTTTGTAAATGAAATGAAGCAGACATGATTATTCTGGTGAAGGTTCTGATATATGAGAACTGAGAACATAAATTTCATCACAGGATATTCTGTTTTTCTGTTTCTAAATTTATGAACTTCCCATTCTTCATTTGGCATTTATTTTCTCATTGGACCTTTAGAATTATAAAAGAAAAATCCATTATCCTCATTATCAATGTTATCCTTAGGTTTAAACAATATTTTGGTCCTCTGTTTGGTTTATTTTGGTCTATATATTTTCAAAACATCTATTTAGATTTTGTACTTCATTTTAGTTCTTGTATTTTTAAAATGTTTGTTTTGGTCCATGTAATTTTTAGAAGCAAAGGGGCCAAAACAAATGCTTTAGAAACATAAGAAATGTAGATGCAAGATTTAAACTCGATGAAAACTCAGATCTACCGAACTTTTTTATACATATATTTCAAAGCTTTAAAGTAAGCCATATATTTAGTTAGTGAAAGAAAACTTGTCATATCTATTTATTCTTAGAATTGGTATTATATATAATAATATAGAATTAAATGCCTTCTGTTACATTAGTTCTAATCTATTATAAATAAATACTTGCTTTCATCCAGAATCCCCTAAATGAAGATAATGATAAAGAGAATCTTAGGCAATTGATTACTTTTATTAACAATTAACCATAATTATTGTTATATTTTTTTTTGTTAATGAAAAACCATTATTTTATTTACTTTTTGTATCATATTCTTAGTTCTAAATAGAAGACTAATTTGAACTTAGCTCAAAATTGAGACGCCTCTCCTTAGAAGTGGCAAGTTCAAAACCGACATAGTCGATGCTATTTGTTTTTGGCCATATTAGGCCACATTAGTCACAAAACCCTAAAATAATAATAATAAAAGAAGACAGAGAAAAGAAATGTAAAGAAACTTATCAAAATTGATGTGAACAAAGCTTAGAAACTTAAATTATATATTTTGTTGCCCCCACACATTTATAAGGTGAAGGACCAATAATTGATCAGATAAGGAAAACGACGTCGGTGGATGGTGACAAGTGATGTGTGATATTGAGGTAGTCACCAATCAATGCAATAAAAAGATAGAGAAAATGACCACTATGCCATCACATTACCAATTTTATTCCACTCTTGTGACAATGGCGTCTCATTTTTGTGATGTCTTTTGTCCAAATCATACCCCGTCTTATTGAATGAACAATATTTCGGTATTTATCCATTATCACTAATCTTTTACCGACTGCAATTAACTTTTCAACGAGTATAAATAGAATTGTAAAATATATATATATATATATATATTATTTTTTTCTTTTATCAAAAATAAAAACGATCAAATTTTTATTGGTAGTCAACACAAAAATACACTAATAAACAATAATTCATCCTTAACTACTCGCACTAAAATTTTGACAAGTAAGAAATAAGAAAGTAAAAAAGAGACGGAAAAAATATATAATATATATATGTCTTTGAAATAATGAGTTGTCAAACTTTTTTCTTTTTTCTTTTGTACGATATGGAGGGTGGGAGTTCGAACTTGATTAGAGATATACGTTATTACTGCTAAGTTATGCTTGTTTTGACATTTGTCAAACTTTTAGTCGTAGTAAATAGGAAAATGAATGTTGACCGGTCAGTAACTAAGTATTGTTCTTATATTATTGGACACTTTTGTTCTTAATTACTTTCATTATATTTGTTGTATTTCTCTATCCAAATGATTTTTTGTAGAAAGTTTAGTTTTCGGGTTTCAAAATTCAAATCTTTTGCAGTCTAGTTTCTAGAAGTTCATGTATGTATAGTTTGTGTTTAGAGAGTGTCTGAAAAAATAGTTGGGTGGTTGGACTAGAAGAGTTGATTTTGTTAATAGTAGCCATCAAAATTAAATCGAAGAGCTCATTTAATGAATATATGATAACTTTTTAAACTAAAATATGAATATTAAATTTTTTTAATTAAAATATGAATACTAAAATTGTACACTTCTTGTATCACATTAAATAAGGATATGCATTTTTTTAATAAATTAAATAAGGATATGCTAAGTCATTAAATTTATTTAAAAACTACACATGGTCTATCTTATATTATAATAAATATCATTGAAGGTAGATTATTAATATAGTGGAGACCGGAATAAAGAAAATATAGGAATATAGACAGCTTTAAAAGGAGTGAAATTAGCATATTAACAGACACTTAAGACAAAGCTTAGGATTACTTTAATTAAATATATGAAATTTTAGATTACTTTCGGCCTAAACTTAATTAAAATAACTGAATATAAAATAATTTTCTTAAAAAATTTAAAGACGAAATAAGAAAAAAAAAGGGAATAAAATTATATTAACGTAGGTTGAAAAATACTTTTAAGAAATTAAAACCAAACAAATAAGCAGTTTATTATTAAAGATTTTTCATGAAACTACTTAAAATTCAGAGTACTTTTAACAATGAAGTGATCCCAAAACATCCCATCAAGATTATTTTTCTAAAAAACACTATTTTATAGGTAGAAGGATATCAAAAATAGTTTAAGAATATTCAATCTCTATGTATTGTACTAAAAAATTTATTAGAAAAATACTTCTGTGTTGACTTATATACTCTTTTTTTTTTTTTGTATCGAAAACTTGACTTTGAAATCAAAAGATTATTTTTATGCATTTCTCTCCCTTATTTGTTGAAAAATTTATTGATGGTCACTAATTAAGGATCTTGTGCCGAGTAATATTAATTTGGTGCGATTCCATAAAAGAGTCGTGAATAGCTTAGACACATAAGTTGACACGTGCAATGTACTCTTTTTTTTTCAACAACATATCAAATTTCAACACCTGTAGCGTAAAAGAAACCCTATTTCCAAAGCAACAATACTCCAACTCCAATTTCTTACATGATCACAGAGTAGCATCTCCTTTATAGATGACACTTTTTTTTTTCTTCTTTTTGAGTTCAATAGTCGACACTATCTTGTTTCTAATCTTGCCCTTATAAAGAAAAAATTGTTTTTTTTTCCTTTGCTTTCTCCTTTTAATCTTTAATTAAGAATATGTACTTTACGGAGCGTAGTAAATGGTCAAAAATTAAAAATCATTTATAATAAGTTTTGGAATTTTCTAAATAGTTCTTTTAAGTGAAATATATTTTTTAAACACTTTAGAAAGAACAATAATTAAATAAACAGTATATATTTTACATTACAAAAAAGTGTAGCCAATCAACCTCTATTTTTTCTTGGCCGTGATTAAATTTTTGATAAGTAAGAAAAAATTGTATAAAAATAGATATTTTTCTATTTTTGAAAAATTAAAATATTTTCAATTTTTCATGGATAGCCGGCACGAAAATATATAACTTATCAATGGTATTTACGGCCTTTTGAGATTGAGGAAGAATATCAACTTCAATTTATGTTTAGGACACCGTGAAAATTGCGAACCCAGTGGTAAAAGACTCATCCACTCTCATTCTCCCAACCGATGGAGCACCACGCAATTGGTCTTCTCTTCCTTAACTTTAGTCGTTCGATGTTCGAGATGAACGAGTTTTAGTCAAGTCTGTTGAGTCCCTATTTAATGTAATCTCTTTTGAGGATGGTCTAAAGTCACTTTCGTGTAATCAAGCAACTTGTGGTCTGCCTGAAATGAAATCTAGGGTTATTTATGTGTGGAGCTCCTCATTGTCCCAATATTTTCTGTAGGCTCCCTGCTTCGCGAGGGTGACTACTGTCAAAATCATTTGATACTTCTCCTCAAGGAGCAACCTCTCCACAGGAGCTCCGGCCGGGACTTGAAAATATTGTTCTTTAAAAAAATATTTTAGCTGGTGAGTGTTCACCTAATCCAAAAATTGACGGCTCATTTTTTCTTAAAGCGTTCAATCATTCACGAGCACTTTAATCAATATACAGAAATTTGATTCTTTATTTTTCCATCTTCACCACTGACAATGGTAGAGACATCAAAGAGAGAAGTGTGATTTTACAGGAAGAAACTGCATGGGGGAATGAAGTTGCTACACAACAGATATTCTCAAGTAAAAAAACTAGTAACTACACTAAAACTAAAAGCTTCCAAATTAAACACAGCTGCTTAATTAAGTAATTAATTCCATGGATTCACCTGATCTCCTGCTAATTCTACTTCACTTCTCACATCATCAGAGCTAAAAGAAGGAGCCACAAACACAGAAGTATAAACTTTTGAACCCCCAAACGAGAACCCACATCCTCTATAATTTTCACAAGACGAATGATTATTCGTTGAAGAACAGAAAATAGTGTCCTCAACAACCGAGTCAGTAAACCCAATTGATCTTGATGGCTGCTGCTGCAGATGATCATCAGCCGTTGATCTCGGACGGCTGTTCCTGTTCTTCATGATGGCGAGCTGAAGCAGGCGGTAGAGCTTGGGACTGTGTCCAAAAATGGTGGAAGAATTGGAGAAGCTGCCATGAACATGATGGTCATATGGGAAGTTTGTCTTTGCGTTTGTTCCTCTGAGGAGCCTTGCGGCTCTGTCATAGGCCATGGCAGCATCTTCTGCTCGGTCGAAAGTGCCAAGCCACAGCCTCAGCTTCTGTGATGAGACTTTGATTTCTGCGACCCATCTTCCAGAGGGGCGCTGTCTCACTCCCAGAAACCTTCTTCGGCCATGATGCTCAGTTATTGGGAGTTGATCAGGTGAAGATTTGGAGCTCTGTGTGGCGGCCATTAATGGCGGCAGCTGATCTTGCTAGCAGCTTGCTGGTGGAGGGAGAGGGTTGGTTGGCAGCTAGGTGTCAGCACAATACCATCCACTGCATATTATAGGCTACAAAGGAATTTAAAGAATGCTTCCAACTGAAAATTAATGACTTATTTGCTGTCTTATTTGGGAGCCTATCTTCCCTTCCCTTGGTTTGGGATCAGATCATGTGCATTTAGCCCTAGGATTAACATGATTTTGATTATGTACCTTTTAATTGGTGTACTTTGATTAATTATAAATTTTAAATTTTTAAGATTGAGATTAAAGTTTAGAAATTTATTAGAGGGAGACACTCTTTAGAGTTTTGCCTAACTAAACACACCACTCTCAAAGTTTAGGATGGAAGTTATAATTTAACTTTAGTTTTTTTCTATATATTAATCCAAGAATATTATTATTATTATTTGTTTTTAATATAGAGGGACGACCCACAAGAATAAAATATAAGTTGGCTAATTAGTTCATTCATGCATCATCATCTTTTGGAATATGGGTCCCTTCTCTCTGTACTTGCTAATTTGGATCATCAGAAAAACCTGAAAGTGTAAGACAAACCTTTCAGTACTTGTAGATTGATGCCTTGAGAAAGTTACATAAAAACGTTTAGCTGTTTTTGTTGGATAGTATACAAACAGTGTGCCTATGTTTCTCTTCAGGAACTTCCCACTTGATCAATAATCAATTAATCAAGATGGAAATTGGCACTAATGCAATAGTGATTTGGAGGATGGAGTGGCAGGAGAAAGTACGAAAAGGTAGTTCATTGGTCCAAACAGACTAGGATAAATCGAGAGGAAATGAGTATTCAAACTCACGATGGTTCTGTATTTTTATAGAACGACAATTTGGGTCCATTCATTTTCATTTTCATCTCATTTCTTTCCATCATAATCTTAGAAGGGAACTTCACCCACTAAAATTTCAAATGTAGCAATAAATTTGTATTCAAGATTTTCCCATTGTATGTAAAGTTTGTGTTAAAATTCTGCAAAGAGAGACCAACTTGATTACTCTTCAAAAGTACTGGACAAGAATTAACATGTACAAAAGTCGAAAGTACAAGGTTTTGAAAATGAGAAGTAAAATAGTACTCAGTTATTTTAATTATTTATCAACATGGGTAAATTTGTTCACTTATTTCATAGTGTAGAAACAGAAATGAGAGGAGAAAACTTCAAGCATGACAAAAATGCTGATAAAGAAGGTCTCTGG